TCAGTTGGTGACCCGAAGGTTGTGGGTTCGATACCGGCTGCGGCAGTCACATTTCGATGGAAATGAAACGCTAGAGGCCCATGTACTGCGCTATGTCAGGGTTCGTTAAGGAACATGGGAGGGTAGAAATTTCCGGATCCCTCCACTGCGGCGTCTTTCATAGCGATCTCGTGGTTATGGGACGTAGATTATTATTATTATTATTATTATTATTATTATTATTATTATTATTATTATTATTATTGTTGTTGTTGTTGTTGTTGTTGTTGTTGTTGTTGTTGTTGTTGTTGTTGAGTGAAAAAGTTCATGGGTTGCTTTTACACAGCGCTTTTGCACATTACCGCCATCTCGGCAGTACACACAGTGGAAACGAGTCATTTGAGCGTATACTTGCGCACAAAGCCACCACGTCTCAAGTCACGCGTTTAAATGTTTTGCCAATCACTGCATCAGTATTCAGCATGGGCTATATACTCAAGTTCTGCCGGCACTGACATTAATTTGGCGGGAACTTTCCGCATCGCCTTGAAAAAGCTGCGGTAGAATACCTTGTCGTTCATCTAAGTATATTCACCGGCAACGTATTTCGTGCGCGCTTCCACAACACCGACGAGTGTTCTCCGACAGTTCTTGCAGCCCTGCTAAGAAGGGAATGCAAATTAAATGAAGAACTGCAACCTATCGATTGGCATATATGGAACAGCACTACGCCTAACTACAACGGCCCAGTTCTGCCACGCACACTGCTGCACGAACCGGCAGTTCCAACTTGACGCGCAAGCATTTCGGTGGTTATCTTAGCTAGAGTGTACTAGAACTATATCTTCGCCGCGTAGTCAGGGTTCTGATAACGAATGATTTGGTTTTAGTACGCATTATCTTTTAGATAAACCGGACACATCGGAATAACCTTTGCGCAGGCGCCGTTTTCAAGACCGAGTGGGCGGAACGAATGTGCAAGCCTTTGTTTTTTTTTTTTTGGGAATTGAATGAGGTCAGTGTTTTTTTTTTTTATGGCGCTATCTGTTAGCGACATAAGGCTATAGGGGAAAGGTTGACCTCTCGCGACCCCAAAACAGTGCCATATAAGGTACGACTGAAAGCCTTACAAATAATAAAAAAATGCGAAGGCAACACCAAAAATTATTATCCGCATCACGGGGTAAACATTATCTACGCCGACATTTTCTTTCTGAAGAATGTGTGTACCTGTTAATTGTGTATACTGTAAAAGCGCATGAGACGGGACGAGTAGGAGAGCTAGCACATGGCCCGAGCACTGACTTTACGAGAAAGGCTTTATTTATAGAAACAAGCACATGAGTTTACATTCTGAACGCGTTCTAAACAAAGGACAACAACAATGAGAGAAAGGAGAAAGGGGATCAACAAAAGAAATGATCCAGTTCATTTCCTGGACAGACGGAAAACTTACGCATGTAACAGGATATAGCTAGGTGGGGTAGTTGGTATCTAATGATGGTATCTCTTGCAATTTCTGCTGCCGTAGTTAAACACGTGAGCAAAAAGGAATTTATAGCAATCTTTTTTGTTCACGTGTCGTTTTCTTTGTTTTTTTTTCATATTCGGTTTGGTTTGGGAAATAAACTTCAGCTGTAAGTTCAGCGCTTGTATATGTTTATTCCTAGTCCCTTGTTGCGCTGTTGTCAGTATAGTCGACCACCAACTTGTCCAATGATTTGCACTCCAAAATGATAATATTTTACTCGGAAAATTGAGCGCCTATAGGGAATGCGCTGTATTCACTATTTAGTTCTTATCTCTCTGAAAGAAAACAGTGCGTTGAAATTGCCGACTATTTTTCTTCTTTTAAAAACCATTCTTTGTGGCGGGCCCCAAGGAAGCATCTTGGTACCAAGGCTGTTAACTATTTACATGAATGATGTTGTTTACGTAAGAAACGATGCATCACCTTTTTTTTTTCTTTTTTTTCACTAGGCGTATGTTAACGTAAACAACAGCGCTCTATTTCTACGTTACTCGTATGACGGCAGTCCTTTTGTTTCCGGACACGATTCATCTGAAAATATTGCCAACACGCAAAACGTGCCATCAGAAATGCTGCAATGCCTCTACAGCTGATGTCATGCGAATAAACGAGACGAAAAAAAAAAAATACAACAAAAGCAGTCATCTTCACAAATCCAGAGGCACGGAAATCAGTCCGAACAAATCACGAATGCTCGAGAGAATACCTGTGGAAATAGCGAGAGATCACAAAGCTGTGCGCCTCACTTTTTCTGCTCATGTGAAATGGTCGTGTCGTGTTCAGTTATGGCCTAAATTGTTATCGCGTTCCTGTTAGTGTTTTGTCACGATGTAGACATTCTTTCCCGGAAAATGCTAAAGTGCAGATATACCGTGCTCCGTTTTTCTCCCACATAAAGTACTGTCTACATGTCTGGCCCATGCCATATATCCCCGAAATTGTTTTTTTATCACAATATACAGGACAACCACTCATCTCCCCCCCCCCCCTCCTCGGAAAACATTTCTAGCCACGCCCCTGCCTGGGGCACCACACCCTTAGGCAACACAAAGAAAAATTATTCCCTAGTTCCAAATAGGGCACAACGATATGATGTGAATTCATTACGCAATACTAGTTCTACAGGTGCATTGTTCTCCCGTTATAAAATAATCGAAATGCAAGGCCCACTCTCAATGGGTTTTATAACCAATTTTCGTCTGAAAGACCCAACTGTAGTTCGAAAAAATTGGCAGATCTCACGTACAGTGGGAATCGATGATATGCGAAGCACGAATGAGGTAGGTTGATATGTCACTTTAAAATCGGCACAATGCTATGACGCGGACGTAAATTATGCCGTACATGACTACCATGTCATGATTATCATGCTTGGACGTGTTATTTACCTTCATCCTCTATTCACGTCACGTGATACGAAATTTGATATATATGTTGAGCTAGCGAAACGGCCACGAGCGTGCTATGAGCGTAGCATGTATTCTTGTTTTACATGACACGCATGCCGTGATTATCATGTTTGGACATGTCATTTATCTTCGTCGTCCATTCACGCCGTGTAGTACCACATTTGGTTGATGTGAAGCTAGCGAAACGTCCGCGAGCACATTATGAGTGTGGCGTGTACTCATGTTGTTACATGAGACGCATCTCATTATCATATATGCACCAGTGATATACTTTCATCATTCCTTGACATCATGTAACGCCAAAAGCTGTATATGTGAAGCTAGCGAAACGGCCGTGAGCCCATCATGAGTGTGGCGTGTAGTGTTCTTACATGGCACGCATTTCTCTAGATTATCATGTTTGCACCAGTCACATACCTCGTTACCCATTCACGTGATGTGATAATAATTTTGGTATATGTGAAGCTAAAAAAATGGCCGTGAGCACATCATGAGTGTGGCATGTAGTCATGTGTTTACATGACACGCATGTCATGATTATCATGTTTGGAAATGTCATTTACCTTTAATCTATTCGCGTCACGTAATACCAAATTTGGTATGTGTGAAGCTCCCGAAACGGCCGCTAGTGCAACATTAGTGGGGCATGTAGTCATGACTCATGAGTCAAAACTTACATGTCATGTATGTCATGATTTCCGTGTTAGGGTCTGTCGCTTGTGTTTGCCATGCGGTCATGTCATACTATACCAGTTTTGCAACATGTCATGTGAACGAAACCACCGCAAGAGCAGCAGCACCATGAAATGTAAATCGTGACATACATGACATGATTTTCATGTTATAACTAGCGAATTATGCTCGTCAAACAGCCATGTTATCCCATACTATTTTTTGGTATCGATATCATTGTCGAAACGGCTTAGAGAGCTAAAAGTCGTAGGTGGCTAGATAGATAGATAGATAGATAGATAGATAGATAGATAGATAGATAGATAGATAGATAGATAGATAGATAGATAGATAGATAGATAGATAGATAGATAGATAGATAGATAGATAGATAGATAGATAGATAGATAGATAGATGTACAGACAGACACGCTCATAGTCGCTGAAGTTCGCTAAGAAATTCTTCGCATTTAATAAAGATTTCATTTGATTTTGATTTGAAAATACTATAGAATGCCTCAACGCAAGCTACGTGCGTGATCTCGAAAGCGGAATATCGAAATGAACCGAGCTGCCGGGCGAATGCGTGGGCGGCGTGTCGGAGCCATCACTTTTCGCGAGGCGGCCTCCTGCGACCCGTGCACCGGTTCTTCTTCCTGAAACGCGAGCAGCTTTAAATATAGCTGCGGCGGCTGCCTCGAACGCAAGACGTGTCACCGCATGAGAGAATTCGGGATGCAAGGGCGCGTGGCCTGAATGCTCCACGCTTGAGTTGCGACGCGCCACCAACGTGCGATTCCAAGGCTTCTCGACTGTGAAATATTTGCGGAGGAAAGCTACGCCTTCAAAAAAAAAAAAAAAAACGCACTTTCTTTATGGTGCATTATGCCCCGTGATAACGACCCCTTGCGTTTTTTTATGCTTCACTGCATGACTTAACTGCCTTGCTGCGGAGCTGACCTTGTTCTTTTTTAGGAAATAGGTGTGAGGATTTGTTGCAGTTTTCTGCGACATATGCACACCAGCATACTTGACTCGCGTTCGCACATTAGAAAAGCAATCATAGATAGAATCAGCTTGAAGGTCACACCGAACCGCACGACTCGTTTAGATACCGATGAGTTCAAATCGACGTGCATCGCCCGTTATTGGTCTGGTAGAAATAAAACGCACTTATATTACCTTGAATAACGCGTTAATTTCCGATCCCGCCCCTTTTCCTTCACTGCAATGTTCCTCCATCAGTTCCACCACCTACAAGAGGTCCCTGAAACATCCGTGTCTGAGAACCGGCGGTGTATAGCATGCGTGTGTTTATTTATGTATTCAAATAATATCCCATAGCTTTTGTGTTTTCTTCTTGTGGCCTCCAGCAGAGTCGAAGCGTCATTATTCTGTACCACACGCAGGCAACCAGATGGCCTGCGACTGCCGCTTGGCGTGGATTCTGCAAATCGAGAACGCCACGCAGAGCGAGAAGTTCCGCCGCGAGCTGCGCCACGTGAGTTGCGTGTTCAGTGACCCGGCGCGGGGCAAAAGCAAGGTGAGTGAAATTGAATCGGGCGGCACGTTTTTATTCGCCGGGCAGCGTACACTTACACAGCAAGTATAGTGCGCGGCTTGTAGTGTCTGTGCTGCGCGGTCATTCATTCTTTGCATCGCCTGTGTTTGCGTCCTTTCATGCATGCGCAGCATCATCCGATTGCTTCTGGCTCCCACAATAGCAACGCGCCAGGCGGCACACTACACACGAAACGCTGACTGACCACTGAATATTCAAGTGCGGGAACTCTCTTGGACCGGCACGTCGTCCATCCATGCATCCCATGTGACGTGATGACGCTCGCAGTAAAGTGCTCAGTAAATGTTCCAGCGTTGTTAAACGCAGGTAATGCTCCGAACCAAACAGGGATAGAGAGAGAGAGAGAGAGAGAGAGAGAGAGAGAGAGAGAGAGAGAGAGAAGTAAACGTTTATTTTGTAAACAGTGCCCCGAGGAACGCCCGGTGTCACCCTGAGGTGGGAGGGCTCCTTAGTCCAGGAACCCTCTGGCTTCTACTGCCCTCTTGGCCCTGGTGACGAGTTGTTGTTGGTCTTCCAGGTCCTCGAGGGTGAGCTTCGCCTCCCACGTTTCGGTTAGGTCTTCGTTCGTCCGTCCTACTTCATTATCAGTCGTGCGTTGTGGCAGATTACGTCTGGCAAAGTGTAAAATAATATATTGAGCAGAAATAACAGAAAAGTAATTGAAATAAATAGTTGGAAGTTGCTAAAAATTCGAAAACGTTCGGCTGACTCCGCGGGGACCAGGCGAGGGATGGATCCATCTCTCGCCGAGTAAGCGAACGCCTTTACCTCTATACGCTTCGTGGGCGCTGTATACACTGCACGTTACGGGGAAAGGAACCTGACGGAACTCGCTGAAGACGACGCGTATATCAGTTGCCGTAACAAGCTGGAAGCCGTGACGGCGCAGCAATAGTAGGTATAGCGCGTATGTCACTCGCCGAGTTTGAGAATGTCCCTAACATGATTCTACGCATGCCGAGGAAACCATGCACGCTGTCCTCAAACATTGGCGGCGTCATCGACGCTTTGGTAAAGGGAACAGTGGGAACTGCACTGAACGGGAACTGCTGGGCGCCCGTGCTACGTACTTCCTTAGGCTTCACAGTTGCCCATACGTTTACTTTTTTAATGAATGAATGAATGAATGAATGAATGAATGAATGAATGAATGAATGAATGACATGCCTTTCTATACACACTGCTGACCCGAAAATAAAAAAAAGTGTAAAAGATATGCTCCGACACGTGTTCCTACTTCTGACCACGTGACAGCATTTCACGTATAGTGACAAACACGACAAGGACGATTAACGCAGTGAACCGGTGTTCACAGATTGCAATGTCACAGAGAAAACATTGTGAAGCACTAACAAGGCAGATTACCGATGGTACAAATGATTGGAAGGTTGCGGGACGGGTGTATATACGAATCCTAGCAGCACTGGTATCCGAAAAGCAATTGGATACTTTGTTTGTGAAATGGGACTCGTGCTCGTATTCATTCCGCCGATAAAGCTTTGTCCGCACGTGTTTCTTGCCCCGTTTTTCTCGTCTCTGGTCGTCAGTTGGCACAAGAAGGCTTGCAGGTAACCGAGTAAGTTTTAGTTATCAGTCAGTGATCCGTGTGTCCCACGTGCCTTGTTCGGAGTGCCGCCTTACTCGTTGTCAACTTGCGATCATGCAGTTAGGAACTAACTCGACTGATATGTGGAATGTGTGGCACTCCTTTGGGCGAGTGGCGCTTTCAAAGCAAGCGCAGTGAAGGTGGCGTTTCCGCCGCAGGTTACGCGCCTGAGCATGGAGGACTTGGGTTGTACGGGCCAAGAAGAACCGCTTCCGACCACTCCTTCTTACACGATTTGGCCATCCTACAGTCCGGAAGAAAAGCCCACCAGCCACGCTTCAGAAGACACAACGAAACGACCTATGGTCACGGAGAAAAAGGAAGGCAGCTCCGCAGAGCCCAAGTCGAAGACGACCAAGGACGATCCGGTGTCATCGGCACCGGGCTTGTTACCTGCCCTGTTTACGGTCATCATTTCAGCTGTGCTGTGTTGTGGCCGAACATATTCAACTTGAACGCCCTAAGCTAGTGCTTTACCTGTTCGGTGGTGTGCTAGGAAAAAAGGCAGCTGCGTGCGAGACGTGACGGACAGTGTGCCTTACAGACGCTATAGCGTTTCCTGTTATCGAGCTTCGACAAACTTTACGACGAGTGATGCTTTTAGGGATGCTTGGAAAGGGTGGCATGGCGAATGGGATTTCATTTTTCGGCCACCATGAGAATGTGCGTTTTGAAGTGTTTCTTTACTGGTGAGATGTTGCTGCTACTTTCACTTTTCGCTTATCCGCGTCATTTTGTTACAACTATTCACTCATTCAGTGCTCAGTTCGATTGATTTTACAGTTCGATGAACGCTGAGCGTCATACGTCACGCAATGTGAATCGCGTGGATGCCTCGCCTGAGTAGCACGCTAGTTTCAGGCGCATGTGTTTTACTTCAAAGTAATTGCTTGGAAGTGTGCTACTTCGAAGTAATAATTTAAGCACTGCCATATACGTCACTGCCTCACGTGATTGTGATGGAGATTGAAGCCCAAAAAGCTTTAAAAAACAACTCCAGCTCTTTCCTCGACTTTCGTCGCTCACGCTTTTTTTTTTCGAAAGTAAATATCTTTATTTGCCTCTTTCTACCATTTTTTTTCTTGTCGACGGCACGACTTGCGCCGATACAAACTCGAACGCGCCTAAAAGACGTGCTCTCTCACTGCTTTGGTTTCATCATAATTTGTACAGCGCGATATGAATGTGGACGGAAAGTAAACACACTGGCTCGATGTGCCACCACTGGCTACGCCTCTCGCCGGTTCTGCCTCGTCTCGTATCACTATAACGTGCGCAATCGATCGATCGATTCCCGTTAGTTTTGTGCACTGTCGAATGCGCAAGCGTAATTAACTTAATGTAAGCTGCCAAACGCTATAAGTTTTAACGCTTATTTTTGCATTGTTAACGTGCTTCATGAAGAAGTAAGTGGCGAGGAGGCCGTAGCGCGCGTAGGCCCTACGCCTGAATGTTCTCGCCTTGACTATAGTTAAGATTAGATTATAATTAGTTAAGTTCAAGATTATAATCTTGAAGATTAGTTAAGGCGAGAAAGTGACCACTCGCTCTTCTTTCAACTCGGAGTGGTTTAGAGGCCCTTTAACTTGTACTGGTGGTCTAGCTGGATAGTCATGATGGAATATGGCAGCGTGAACCACGCAGAAGAATAGAGCCTGGCTTTGCCGATTCTTTAGCGTAGTTCACGTTACGGCACGAGACGCCACCGTCATCGAGTCTATTTTCATGTTATTTTACAACGTAAAACTCACTTGTCGCGTTTTTGACGGTACTCATCATATTGACATCGCAAAATATCTGATGCCGAATATTACCGTGCAATAAAAAAAAAAGTCTATATTTGTGACCACCGACACCGTTGTGCATTTATTTACGCTATGACGTTTGTTGAAGGAGGCTCGTTCATGAACTGTATCACACAAGCAGATGTATCTTAATACATTATGGCTGATTTCTGAGTCCAAAAAAAAAAAGTATGGAACGACCACATGTAGGCCTAATTCGCATGATGTACAACTGCGATAAGAAAAGATTCACCCTATATGTCCACGGAGTGAATGAAGTTGGCTTTTACGCGATCCCGTGGACTCCATTAGCGATAATTGTATGTCGAGCTCGTGTGGCGTAGGCTCTCTTTGTATATGAACCAAGCAATGATATAACTATATACTTGGTAATTTATTGTGCTTTCCTTCTACATCACTTATTTGTGTGAACCTCTTCCACTCACCAGCGTCGTGCAATCGACGTGAACTGTTTAACTTTGGGCCACAACAATACGTCTTTCTTTCCTACAGGAACCCTTTAACCCGATTGTTTTCATCGATGTAACCGTACTGAGTACCAACACCTCACGAGTAGCACCGCACTATAAAGGCTCGTGAAAGTCGATCTGAAAGCAATTTTTCTCGTAGCACAAAGGAAGCACTTGATAATGCCATGCATGTGGCTCAGTGTATTTAGATATGGAGCCGTGATTGAAATCCCATACCATTACGAGTGCGGTCATTTCTCTACACTGAATGACAACGCACGAGTCTGTGTGTGCGAGGCGCATATGACGGTTACTGCCTTGGCAACGCGTTCTCAGCTCGCAGCGTTATCTCTCAGCGAACAGCACGAGCGAACAACACCGTCAAAGCAGAGGACAAGAAAGGTGAGAGACACACCACAACTTTTCTGGTTGCTCTTGTGTGCAGAGTAAACATCCTTGAAGGTACACTGAAGAGACAAATGATTTTTGCTGTATTATTAAACTGCTCTATGATACTTTCAATAATAAAATGATTGCTGTGGTAAGAAATGTCGTAAGCGAAAAAAAAAACGCGCAAAAAGATAAAAGGCTGGTAGCGACGCCACTTGAAGTTTCCGCACCTGCGCATCGTGACGTCATGAATTACGATGGCGTCTATCAACGTCTACGTAGTTCTTAGTAGGTGAAAATGAAGGACATTCTCCACCCACGGCACTGGAGGCTTAGCTTGACAAGTTTCAAGAAATCTTGTTCAGTCAGTGTGCATAAACGTACGCGAGGGGCAAAGAAATTGAAATCAGTGACATCAACGTGGAGAGATTTTGGCACGGAATTTTAAAACGACACTTTCGCATTTACTTTTTGCTTTATTATTGAACATATGACGGCGAAATCAACGAAATTAGAGTTCTTAAGCTATACATTCTCAGTTTTGAAGTATGCTCATTGTTTCATTCTATTATCCCTTTAAATGTCAATGTTTTTAGCGTCAGTATGGATCTATGATTTGTAATCCGCATGAGGCTCACGTGGTAGACCAATTAAAAGCAATTCACCACAATGCAGAAACTTTATAAAAAAAAAGAAGTAAGTGTTCTTGCGCAACTAGAGCACGACATATGTCAAGGAATCATTTTCATTACCTTCTCTTCAAATGCAGATCAGCACTGCAAAGCCATTATGTCATTTGTACTCGCTTTACCGTGCAGTGCATCCCTGTTTTGTGAATCCTGCATCAGTAGTTATAATAATATTTTCCAGCATCTTAAGCGCTCATTTAATGTAGTGCCTTTCTCTTCGAGCTCTAATTTACGTCGTCCTCGCCCCTACTTCTGGTTACATACTTTTGAAGTATACTATTGAGAAACGTTGTGTGCGTCATTAATATCGAATATTTTGTTAAAAAAAGGAATTTTTTTCCTAAATGCGAGATTATTTCCCCATCGTATACTTTGCTGCTCGAGCTTCTTTAACAATATCATTGTATGCTATCAGTGGTGTTTATTTATTTATTTGTCTGTCCATATTGTTACTGTATCCCCCTCTCTTTTAAATGACCGGAGGAACCTTTGGTGTATATGAATTTTTAAAAGATGCTTTGCAAAAATAAACACTTAAGTTCATGCTGCTTTTGTATTGATCAGCAGGTGGTACTGATGAAACACTCTCGCGGCCTCAGCATGTCGCTCGCCGAGGCCCGATTCAATTCTGATTCGTGGATCCTTCGCCTGTCCGGCTGCCTGCCACCCTCGCAGCGCGAGGACCGACTGCCGGAGCGACAATCACGATGGGGATACACCTTGCTGACGGCAACACTGGTGACCGCCGCGTCGCTGATCGAGCTGACCTCGTTGCTGGGTCGCTCCCTCTTTGAAACCCGACAGCTGAGCATTTTCAACGGTGGCCTCTTCTTCACCCTGAGACTCCTGTTTCTGGCCAAGGTGTCGTCGCAGCTTGCCGCCTTTCCTCGCCACGTCTCGGGAAGTGCGGACACTCGTGGCCCGAGCAGCGGAGTACGAAAGTGCGCGCCCCCTGCCCGCGGCACATCGCGCCTCTCTGCGCTGCAAGACCATCTACAGGCAAGAAGTGAAGAATGCCATAACAACAAATTGGAATGTTATAGGAAGTATGGCTAACAGCCATCCTATTTTAGCCCGATTCAACAACACCAGCGTAAGGAAGCGCATTCTTAGCAGTGAGTGAATCGACCTGCTAAAACCTGATTTTAATCTTTTTAAAGAGAACTGAGGGGTGAGAACACTGCACAGAAAAATTTACATACCGCTAGCTAATTTCTGTCGTACTTCCGTGTCACTGCTCGTGTTCGTCTCGTTTGCGCCTTATTCTTTCCTCTAAACATGCACCACCTAGTCACACAAAAAGTTCTACTTGAATCGGTACCGTCTGCAATTTTTTGTCAAGGTATAGGACACACGTGACTTTACCTGGCCGATCAAAGCACACATTGCCTGCTGGAGCCACGCAGCCACCCACGTAACGGCTACAGCAACAACATGCTGCGCAATTCGTGTCGCACAAACGAACGAAGAAGTTGTTCCTAAATAAACTTCAAGGTGCCCTAGTCCGAGCACGCGAGACTGGACCATCGAGCCTAATGAAGGGTCCCGGGTATGAGTGCCCTTACGTTCTAAGCACTTCTTCTGCCCCTTTCGTATCGTATACTTGGATATATCATCGCGGGTTCTTTTACAGCTTCTCGCCCTCCTCTTACGCCACCAGACTTACCCCCTCTGCTAAGGTATAGGCGATTATTTTTCCTAAAACCTCGCATTTCTTATCGCAAAGTTTGATGAGGCATGCGTCATTAGTCTTGTCAGACTTGTGTGCTTATTGCTTTAGCAGTGTTAGTCCGAGCTACATACAGTGGCTATGTCAACTTGTTTACTCGTTTTACGCACTTTTCTGTAAACTTTCTCGAAAATTGTTAAACTTCACTCTGAGACGGCGAGCTCTGCCGCCTATTGTACAAAGTGTGCTTTAGTAGCTCATACCTAATCGTTATATTTATTTATGTAAAGATACTGCCAATCCCTCATGGGATTCTCGCAGGAAGGGCATAGACACAGTACATATCAGATATTTTCAAGAAATGTGGGGTTACACAGTCGGTGGAGTCTAGTACACATTATACATTCTCCATTGAATAAGTATGAACAAAGTACGCATACATTTTACAAAAGTAACATACCGTACAGGTTTTGATATTACAGGTTACAACATTCTTCTGCGTAAGGGATTACGAAAAAAAACCTTTTCATTAATAATTTTTTTTCAAAAATTTATGACTTAGTGATAAGATGAAACACAAATGAGTTGATACACACATTCACTCGGTGATAACAAGTTATAGTCACATCGTGTGACTTTTCTTTTCTTCCAGAACTTTGTTAAACTCATGGTACCAATTATTGAGTTGTCTAGAGAATTCCATTCCCTTATTGCTAATGGAAAGAAAGCGTACTTGAAACAGTCAACGTTGAACCAGTATTCTGTTAGCCATTGGGGATGTTTTAGTCTGGTTATCCTTGATCGATCTACGGATATATAGTCTGAGGCCTCTTAATTTTAAGTGACCGGGAATAAGTTCATACAAAAATTTTAATATGAGAACCACCACAGTGTTCGAAGAGAAATCTTCACCTTCCAGGGCGCTTCACCTTCTCGTGGTGACTGCCTTCTTCACCACACGTTGGTACGTGTTTCTCACGTGGGTGCACAAGAGCATACCAGCCTTCCTGTCGGCGTCGCTGTCCATCGTTACGGCAATAGCGGCCGCAGCTGTCACCGCCTGG